ATGCTCAGCAAAGTAGGAATAGAAGAAACATACCTTAACATAATTAAGGCCATATATGACAAATGCATAGCTAGCGTCATAGTCAAAAGGGAAAACTAAGTGTTTTACTTTAAAATCAGGAACAAGACAGGGTTGTCCACTTTCACTGCTTTTATTCAGCATAATATTGTAAGTCCTAACCATAATAATCAGGCAAGAAAAAAAGGCATTTAAATTGGAATGTCAGAAAAAACTGTCATCATTTGCAGATGACATGATACTGTATGTAGATAATCCTAAAAATTCCACCTAAAAACTACTAGGACTAATAAGTAAATTCAATAAAAAAGGACATAAAATTAATATTCTGAATTCAGCTTCATTTTTATACACCAATAACAAACTATCAGAAAGAGAAATTAAGGAAGCAATACCATTTACAATTGCATCAAAAAATACCTAGGAACAAATTTAACCAAGGAGGTAAAAGACGTGAATTTAGAAAATTATAACACATTGAAGAAAGAAATTGAATATATAAATGAATGTAAGCATATACTCTGCTCATGAATAGGAATAATTACAGCAGCATTAAAATGTTTATAATACCCAAAGCAATCTACAGATTCAATATAATTTGTATTAAAATACCAATGTCATTTTTCACAAAACTGAAACAAATAATCCTAATATTTATATGGCACTACAATAGACCCTGAGTAGCTAAAGCAGTGTTAAAAAACTTGGGGGTATCATGCTACTTAATATCAAACTATATTACAAGGCTATAGTAATAAAAACAGTATGGTACTGACATGAAAACAGACACTTAGATCAATGGAACAGAATAGAAAGCCCAGAAATTAACCCATGCCTTTATATTCAATTAATATTTCCCAAAGCAATCTACAGATTCAATATAATTTGTATTAAAATACCAATGTCATTTTTCACAAAACTGAAACAAATAATTCTAATATTTATAGGGAACTACAAAAGACCCTGAGTAGCTACAGCAGTGTTAAAAAAAACAAAACTTGGAGGTATCATGCTACCTAATATCAAACTATATTACAAGCCTATAGTAATAAAAACAGTATGGTACTGACATGAAAACAGACACTTAGATCAATGGAACAGAATAGAAAGCCCAGAAATTAACCCATGCGTTTATATTCAATTAATATTTGACAAAGGAGGCAAGAATATACAATGAGAAAAAGACAGTCTCTTCTATAAATGGTGTTGGGAAAGCTGGATGGATATATGCAAAAAACAACAACAACAAAAAACTAGATCACCTTCTTATACCATACACAAGAATAAACTCAAAATGGATTAAAGACTGAAATGTTAGACTCAAAACCATAATGACCTGAGATGAAAGCATAGGCAGTAAAATCTCAGATATTTCCCATAGCAACATTTTTTTCTGATATATCCTCTAGGACAAGGGAGACAAAAGAAAAAATAAACAAATGGAACTACATTAAACTAAAAGTTTTGGCACAGCAAAGGAAACCATCAAGAAAATGGAAAAACAACCTATCACATGGTGGAAGATATTTGCCAATTATACATCCAATAAAGGATTAATATTCAAAATTTATGAAGAACTCATACAATTTAACATTTAAAAAATACAGTCAATCTAATTAAAAAATGAACAAAGGACCTGAATAGATATTTCTCCAGACAGAACATACAGAATGCGAAAAGACATATGATGATGTATGCAGGGGAAATAAATCTGGCTGTTTTTAAATGGAGAAATCTTTCACATATTCATGCCATAATGCAATTGAGGAAAAGTCATTTATTGCTCAGAAAAAAATAATGTAGTGGCATTGAGAATTACATTTCACTTTGCTGGGATCACCATTCACTACTACTGTAGTTAGTGTGTGAATCAGAACAACTGAAAATGAGATACATCAATCAGCCCCCAATACCTGCTCAACATGCAGCTCACAAAATATTTTATTTACTTGAAACTGATGGACAGTTTAAGCAAATTGGGAAAAACGCAAATATTTTATCACTTTATGCAGAGTCACATCCTTGGGTGAATTTTGTGAATCACATAATCATGACTCTATTTTTTGTTGTTCAAAAAATTAAATGTTATTGATATATAACCCACAATAAGTAAATGAATTGTGTTTAAATGCATGTGTGTGTGTGTGTGTGTGTGTGTGTGTGTGTGTGTGTAGAAAAATGAAATGTGTACATGGTATAACTACATTTTGCCTCATGCTATAAAATATATCATTTCACTAAAATAGTTATATTTATCTATTTCAAGGTAGTGGACAACACTTTGTGTATGTCAACTCATCTGGTCCCAAAGAAGGATACACTGCAAGAATCACTACTTCCCAATACTTCCCGGCAAGCCTCGGAATGTGTACTGTTCGGTTCTGGTTCTACATGATCGATCCCAGGAGTATGGGAGTACTAAAGGTACAAAAGGAAGACAGAGACTTGTGTTTCAGTAAAGTCTTTGTAGAATGTCTTTAAACATATTTCCTTTTTTATAATCTTACTAGAGGCCCTATGCACGAATTCATGCACCAGTGGGGTCCCTCTGCCTGGCCTACGGGATCGGGCCAAAACCAGCTCCCCAACATCCCCCGAGGGGTATTGTGAGAGGGCACAGGCCAGGCCGAGGGACCCCACTGGTGCATTATCAGGGCCAGGGAGGGACATGGGAGGTTGGCCAGCTGGGGAGGGGCTGTAGGAGGGCTCCAGGGTGTGTCCAGCCCATCTTGCTCAGTCCCTGATCAGCCAGACCCCAGCAGCAAGCTAACCTACTGGTGGGAGCATCTGCCCCCTGGTGGTCAGTGCACATCATAGCAAGCAGTTGAGTAGCCTTAGCATATCATTAGCATATTATGTTTGATTGGTTGAATGGCCGACTGGATGACTGATCACTTAGCATATTAGGCTTTTATTATATAGGTTAAACTTTTTCCTTCTTATTATCTCTAATTTGGGTATATCAGTGTCATGTTTTACTACATTTTGGGGGCAGAGGTTTCTCAACAGATGTGTTGCATTTGTAAGAACTGTCTGCAGTTATGACATGGGGAAGTTTGGTGGACAGATCACTCCTTATCAGGGGTTTGAGAACTTAACATTTGTGCATGTGTTTTCTAAAGTAACTAAAACCAAAAGTCTAACTAATATTATCTGGAATTGTGGTGAGGAAGAACCTCTTATTTTTTAATATTAAAAAGAGTTTTTAAAGGAATAAAGTGAATAACAATGTGCCTTGGTGGTATAGGTGTGGATAAATAAATATTCTTATTTGTTGCTATCAATATGAAATTATGAAGAGTATTTTGGCAATTGAAAGCTTCATATTTTTATATTAATCATCAAAACATTCCACATCTAGAAATATAAGAAAATAAAGATAGACATGTATGATGTTTTATTTATGAAGTTTTTTTTATCTTACTATTGTTTATAATAGTAACTATTTAAAACCAACTGAATGGCAAATGATAGGAATTGGTGAAATACAGTACATTCACTTTTATTATATAATATATAAAACTAATTATGTGAATGAATAATTAGTGATAAAGAAAAGTGTGTGTGTGTAGAAAAATGAAATGTGTACATGGTATAACTACATTTTGCCTCATGCTATAAAATATGTCATTTCACAAAAATAGTGAAATTAAATTTCACTTAATTTTAGTTATTATTTCATTAATAACTAAAGCAGACATTAATAAAGATATATTCCAGAATGCCATTTAAAACATATATCTAATTTTGAGTGTATCAATGTTTATAAATATATATATCTTAATCTATATAAATATCTACGTTATTAAAAGGAATATATGCAAGCATACACAAAAATGGTTTATCTCTAGATGGTGGAGAAAAATATTCTTTCATTATTTTTACGCATTCATTTTATAATTTTCTGCATTAAATATGTAATACCTTTCTAATTAAAAAAAAATGTATATCTAGCCCTAGCTGGTCATTGATGTTTCTCTCTCCCCCTCTCCTTTCCTCTCTAAAATCAATAAAATATATTTTTTAAAAAATGTATATCTAAAGGGTGTTTAACATTGAAAAGGTTGAGAGACACTGGTCTAGGATGTGCCATAACAGGTGACTGCTTGAGTTCATAAAGAGCAAATATGGTCCTGGAGCACATGGCAGAGTATAATTGTGCTAATCTGAAACTACTTACAGTGATTACATAAATCCTTTAGAAAGGGTGTGGCAAGGAAACTACCTAAGGTGAGCTTTCTCGTAGAGGATTTATGAGGCAATAAAAATAGCACAGCCTTCCTAATAGAGATTTCCAATTGTAGACTGCGGTAGTGTGCTTTCTTGCCAGCACACATTTTATGAAATTATATGAAGTAATGCATAATCTCTGCCCTTCTGTGCTCTGTTCTGTATCCCAGAGAACTACATTTCCCAAGCTCCTTTGCTCTATGCTACCTGGATAAGTTTGACCAATGAAAGGCAGTGGCCAAAGACATACAGGCAGGAAGAGGAGACAAGCCTTCCCCTTCTCTCTTTTTTGGCGACTTTCTAAAGGCATCTCATCTGTAACTCAGTTTCATCCAGATAGGCACTGGTTCCTTAGTTCTAACTCCCACCAAGTAAGCCGGCCAAATTCTAGCTTCTTCCAGCCACTCAATTTTGGTGACTACTTCCCTTTAATGCTCTAGTTTTAGGGATGGAAACATCTTCCTGTGCATACTAATCTATTGTCTCATAAATTACTTGGTGGTTTCTCATCTCTTCAATAAATTTTGTAACCAATTCCCCATATTAAATTTCCTCTATTTTTGAAATATGTTAGAGTAGTTTATATTTTATAGCTTGTCCCTGTCTGAAATTAGTGCCCACTCCAAAGAAAACACAAATCTTTTAAAGATATTAATTTGTAAAATAATGAAAAATTTTGAGTCAGCACCAGTCAGTTTAAATTTGTCCTGCTTACGTTAACTTATTAAAAACGACCCTCTAGTAGGGAAGACAGAAAACAAAAACACCCAAATATGAAAACTTCAATTTGTGATACAATACCCTGAAGCAAATAAAACAGATTTTGGTGATGAATAATTACTTAGGGTCTGCTGAGAGTTTTGTTTTATACTGAATGGTAAGGAATCCTCTCTGAGAAAAATAATGTTTGAATTTATATTCAAAAAACAAGAAGGAGCCAGCCTTGTGAATATCTTGAGCCAGAATGTTCTAGGCAAAGGGAGCAAGTCAATGAAAAAGTGCAAAGGTGGAGGGAATTTGAGGGCCAGTATAGCTGGCACAAAAT